ATCATTTAAAAATAAAAATATCAACTAAAAACGAATATTAATAAATTTAAAATTAAAAAATACTTTTCATTATTTTAAAAAAAGAGGCAAATGAAGGCAATTTTATTAAAAAAACTAGTCGAATGATGAATAAACATATAGTTTATAAAACAATTAATTGATCAAAAACAAAGAATTTGCTATCACAAACTAAACTCAATATGGAAGTGTTTGTAAATTTTAAGAGGGACGCTTTTCAATTCTAATTTTTGAAACCTCTAAATATTTTGGTAATGAGAACTTTTTTCTTATCTAATTAAATTGTTTTTAATCTTGGTCTTTTAGGAGATTACACATTTCTTTTGCACAAGTTCTAATGTCAATTTCATTTAAACCAGTTATTGATACCATCTAATCTTAACTCCATGAGGGATGAATTCTTCTGATTTTATGAACTAAATAAATAGCTGCACTTGCTAAAACATTATTTGAATATTAAATCATAGAATATTCTAATAAAGATAGTTCTATTAAGAATCTAGTGATAATTTTTACATGTATAAAAATAATTTAAAAAAAAAATGTATTTTGTTATAAATATGATGTATTTTATCAATAAAAAATATTTGAATTCAGAAAATATAATTAAAAAAGTTAAATTAAATAATTTTACTTTAAATCCTAATTACAAAAATAACACCTGCAAAGCATAAAATTTTTTTACTCCAATTTAGCTGTTCCCTAGTAAATGTTTAGCATTCTATAAGGACTAGTGGTTAATAAATCAAAAGAGAATAATGATATAATTTTTCCCTCTGCTTCTAGAATTTCTTCTTTAATATAAGCATTATCACAAACATACACTAAATCTCTTACATGAGGAACTGAGTATACTTCTTCCTATTTAGATGCTATAAATAATGCTGCAACTCCATATAATTAAAATTTAGATTTTGGTATTTAAAATTATTCAAGTATTCTCAAATTTAGGTAATAAATACCTATCAACTATTGAAATTGTTAAAAAAAGTGTTTCTGGGTCTCATTTGAATTTATGATGAACATCTACTAACCAATCCAGTAAAATACTGCGCATTTTTTCTGTTATTTCTATTTGAAATTGGAACGCAGTCTATTTAAAATTGGATTTACACTAAATTAAGTATATTCATTACAGTTCTATCTTTCATATATGTGACAATTTCATTTTTATATGCATTTACTAATTGAGGATTTTTATTTTTTAAAGGTAATTTAAATGTTTTATTTGTTAAAATTTCAGTGTCTCCACTTGTTATACTCAGATTTCTTCCATTTCTAAAAGGCATGGGTATATTTGAGTCTGTTTTTACTCTTTAAAAACCCTCTCTTGTTCTATTGCTTTAATCTTCATTTAAGTTTAATTAAGGTTTTTAAGGAGGAATCATAGAATGAAATGAATTTGATTTTGATGATTTTTCTCTTAAGGCTAGAGAGGATTATACTCTTTAATGTTTAGATGCGTTGTAAAAATTTTCTTTTTAGTAATCGGCAATACAAAATAATTTTGGAATTTAATTTGCTTTCATTTGAATATAAATTATTAACGAAAAAAAATATTATTTAATTTAATGAATAATATTCATTTTATTTTATTTTTTTCTCCTATTTTACCCAACATAAATTGTAAAAATGTTTAAGCTTTAAATGAGTAAATGACTGTTTGATGAATATAATTAAATGTAAAAAATGATAATTAAAATTATTAAAGAATTACAAATAGTATCAAGTTTTTACTTTAGTAAGTTTATTTACTGTTTCTGCAATTTAAGGATACTTTCTTAATTTTAGAGAATGCATTCTAAAAAGATAAATCTTTTTTAACAAAAATAATTTATACTTTTTTTTTCAATAAAATCATCAATCTTCTATAAATATTATCAATTTTTCCCTTCAACCTAATTAATTAAGAATGTTATTTAAATTTGTTTCATTTTACCTTTAATCCATATTTTTTCATTTTTATTTTTATTTTCAGAAGCTTCTAATGAATTTATAGCTGATTTCTATTTTCAAAAAATGCCCAATTTTAGTAGCCAAATGAAATTTGCTTATGGATAAATTGCTTCGCTCTACATGTAAAACTTTCTTGTTAAACAAAAAATTTTTGTTAAATCAATTTTGGCTCAGATTTTAGATTGGTTCACTTTTATTTGCAACTATCTAATAGAGGTACAATTTTGCCAACTGAATGCTCAAAGCAAGATCAAATCAATGACCTCAAGAAAAAGATGAGCTAAGGATAAAGTAAATTAAGATTAAATTATATGAATAAGTAAATCCAAATAAATAGTTGATAAGTTTAAAATTAAGAGAAATTTGAAGATTAAGAAGAAAAAGTTAAAACTTAAAATGCTTGTAATTAACCTACAAAATTAGAAATGCGCAAAGGAATAAAAATGTAAATTCTATTAAAAAGTCATAATTGCACAAATTTTTTCCTAGAGCTTACTTTGATTCTTATGATTTTAAAAAAGCATTACCTAGTTTAGTTGTTAAAAGAGTAACAATTGATGAAGCTTTGTCATGCAATCAGCTATTAAAATCTTAAAAAAGGAATAAAACAGCAACCAAAAAATTAATTTTAAAAATAAAGATCAAGATATTATTAAACTACTTAGTTACTATTATTTTAAAGATATTTAATTCCCAGAAATAAGTTTTATTAAATAAAATTAGAAAAATTTGAAATGAAATCATTTATAATAAAAAAAAATATAAGTTTAATTTTAGACTTAAGTAATATCTAAAATAATCAATAAATAGTAATTACAGAAAAGATTAGTATATTGTAAATCTGAAAGACATTAATGTCCCATTTTTTGTTCATGCTTTTTCTGGTTTTCAAAGATAAAAATATCTGAAGCATTCATATCGTCATGAAATGAAAATGAAGAGAAGCAGATAAAATTAATAATGTGGTTAAGATTAATAGGATAAAAGGGAATTGAATAGCTAGTGAATTTTGGAAATAAAAATGTTAATTAATTATGTAATAAAGCGAATAGGAACAATAAAAGGAGTAAAAAATTACTCAAAATGAGATACCTGATTTAATTATTAATCCTTATGAAGTGGTGAACAATTCTAAGAAGCAAATAGACTATGATAAGTTGATCCAATCGTTCGGTTGTTAGAGAATAGAGCAAAATCACTTAGAGCGCATACAAGCCTTAACTTAAAAGCCTGTGCATCATTATTTAAGACGTGGAATTTTCTTTTCACATCGAGACCTAAATTAAGTATTAGATGCTTATGAAGCTGGAAAAGGGTTCTATTTGTACACAGGGAGAGGACCATCAGGAGATTCAATGCATGTTGGACATTTGATGCCATTTATATTTACTAAATATTTATAGGAGGCCTTTGATGTACCAGTAGTGATTGAATTGTCAGATGATGAGAAGTTTTTCCATAAAAGTGAAACAACTTTGGAGGAATATCAAAGATATGGATATGAAAATGCAAAAGACATAATAGCATGTGGATTTGATGTGAACAAAACATTCATTTTCCTAAGCTCAAAATATGCAGGTCACATGTACCATAATATTTGTAAATTTCAACATGCGATAACCTATTCATAATTAAGAGGAATATTTGGTTTAAATGAATCTGATAATTGTGGGAAAGTTGCTTATCCTGCAGTTTAAGCTGCTCCATCTTTGTCTTCATCTTTTAGACACATTTTCGGAAAGGATGAAGTTATGTGTTTAGTTCCTCAAGGCATAGATCAAGACCCATATTTTAGAATGACTAGAGATGTATGCTATAAACTCAAGGTTCCTAAAACTGGATGTATTCATTCCCAATTCCTACCAGGATTACATGGATTCGGTACAAAAATGGGAACTACAGATCCTACATCTGCCATCTTCTTAACAGATAGTCCAAAAGAAATTGAAGAAAAAGTTCTCTATTTTATTTATTTAATTAGATCAAAAAACATGCATTGTCTGGTGGAGGTATGACTAAAAAAGAACATCAAGAAAAAGGAGCTGATCTTACTGTCGATGTTCCATATCANCTACTTAGTTACTATTATTTTAAAGATATTTAATTCCCAGAAATAAGTTTTATTAAATAAAATTAGAAAAATTTGAAATGAAATCATTTATAATAAAAAAAAATATAAGTTTAATTTTAGACTTAAGTAATATCTAAAATAATCAATAAATAGTAATTACAGAAAAGATTAGTATATTGTAAATCTGAAAGACATTAATGTCCCATTTTTTGTTCATGCTTTTTCTGGTTTTCAAAGATAAAAATATCTGAAGCATTCATATCGTCATGAAATGAAAATGAAGAGAAGCAGATAAAATTAATAATGTGGTTAAGATTAATAGGATAAAAGGGAATTGAATAGCTAGTGAATTTTGGAAATAAAAATGTTAATTAATTATGTAATAAAGCGAATAGGAACAATAAAAGGAGTAAAAAATTACTCAAAATGAGATACCTGATTTAATTATTAATCCTTATGAAGTGGTGAACAATTCTAAGAAGCAAATAGACTATGATAAGTTGATCCAATCGTTCGGTTGTTAGAGAATAGAGCAAAATCACTTAGAGCGCATACAAGCCTTAACTTAAAAGCCTGTGCATCATTATTTAAGACGTGGAATTTTCTTTTCACATCGAGACCTAAATTAAGTATTAGATGCTTATGAAGCTGGAAAAGGGTTCTATTTGTACACAGGGAGAGGACCATCAGGAGATTCAATGCATGTTGGACATTTGATGCCATTTATATTTACTAAATATTTATAGGAGGCCTTTGATGTACCAGTAGTGATTGAATTGTCAGATGATGAGAAGTTTTTCCATAAAAGTGAAACAACTTTGGAGGAATATCAAAGATATGGATATGAAAATGCAAAAGACATAATAGCATGTGGATTTGATGTGAACAAAACATTCATTTTCCTAAGCTCAAAATATGCAGGTCACATGTACCATAATATTTGTAAATTTCAACATGCGATAACCTATTCATAATTAAGAGGAATATTTGGTTTAAATGAATCTGATAATTGTGGGAAAGTTGCTTATCCTGCAGTTTAAGCTGCTCCATCTTTGTCTTCATCTTTTAGACACATTTTCGGAAAGGATGAAGTTATGTGTTTAGTTCCTCAAGGCATAGATCAAGACCCATATTTTAGAATGACTAGAGATGTATGCTATAAACTCAAGGTTCCTAAAACTGGATGTATTCATTCCCAATTCCTACCAGGATTACATGGATTCGGTACAAAAATGGGAACTACAGATCCTACATCTGCCATCTTCTTAACAGATAGTCCAAAAGAAATTGAAGAAAAAGTTCTCTATTTTATTTATTTAATTAGATCAAAAAACATGCATTGTCTGGTGGAGGTATGACTAAAAAAGAACATCAAGAAAAAGGAGCTGATCTTACTGTCGATGTTCCATATCACTATTTGAGATTTTTCCTTGAAGATGATGCTCGTCTTGAAGAAATCAGAGTATAATATGGAAAAGGTGTTATGATGACAAGTGAAGTCAAAAAAGAATTAATTACAGTTCTTACTAAAATTATAACAGAACATTAGTAAAGAAGAGCACTTGTCACAGATGAAATGGTTTAAAAATTTATGGAATTAAGACCTTTAAGCAACTATCCACCTAAAAAGAATAATTGAGATATAATAAAATAAAAACATTATTATTATTAAAATGCTCACTGCCAAGGAAGAATTAGACAAAATAAATACAAAAGTATAAGTCTTATTAATTATTATAAAGAGTGCTAAAGGAAATGCTGAAAGTGAAGAATTACCTTAATACTTAAGATCTTCATATTCATAAACGTATTAATAATTAGAACCTGCTAAAACTTTTAAGGGAAAAAAGGTGCCCTCATATTTATCAATTTTTAGGTCTTTCCCTAATTTGCGTATGGAAATTCTCATGAAGCTCCAACTTATTTTAAATTATCTAATTCTTTAGTCTGTAGAGAAAGTTACGATAATCCATATATCAAGAATAAAGTGCCTCCATTAAATAAAATTGATTCTCTTAAAGGAAGCACTCTCAATAATTATGAATTTTATAATGTTTCTGATTAGAGATTCACTAATCGAAAACCTACAGGTTACATTACTAATAAAATAACTGAGTATAAAATTAATTTCAACATTAAGTACTATTACAAATTAAGTTAAAATTGTACAAAAACCATTCAATGATGAATAGGATCAAATATTTACTTTTGAAAGTGCTTACAAATCGATTCAAGATAAATTTTTCAATAAAAAAAGAGGTACCTTTTTATCTTTATTTTAAGAGTTATTTACAGATTTTGTTGAAAAAAATGATTTACTTAATGTCTATGGCCCATTAAATATGAGAACAAGACCAAAAGAATTCAGAGAAGTCAAAAATTATGCTCTAGATTCTGAATAACTTAAATTATTGAAGGAATAAAGATCAAGATAATAAATCACTCCAACTAATAGAAGTGGTTTTACAGATCTTATTAAGACTGTTAGACTTCCTACTATATCTAAAATGCAAGGATTGGATACGGATAAATACTACAATAAAGATTAAAATTATCTCAATCAATTAACTAATTCAATCATTGTTGAAAAAATTGATTAAAAAATTAAACTTAAAAATAAAACTCTCTAAAGTTTAAATAAAAATAAACATTCGATTAAGCACAACACAGAGGATACTGAAAATATGCAAGGAATTATAGACATATTTGAGAAGCATTTAGAATTCGAAAAATAATATAATTGTTGAAAAATAATTTAAATTATACATTTTAATTCAAAATTGATCTGTGTAATAGCTTAATTACTCTTTTAGTTTCTGAATCTTAAAATCCTTCTTGTCAAGTGCTTCTTATACTATAGACTCAAATTTTGTAATATCATCATAATGTTGCTATTTCAAATTTTAAAGTTTTTCTTCATAATGCTGTTTTAATTATTAATTTTAGAACTTTAGTTACTCAATCTTTTAATAAGCAATTTTCTTTTCTTCTTCTAAATTTATTAAAAGAGTTTCAACTTAAACTAATTTATTACTAAATTCTTCTGATTATTAGAGGGATTTGCAATTTTCTTCATGCAAAAAGTGAAGCTGCTCAATCAATTCCTCTTAGCTTTCTTAAGGGTCTTATTTTTGATATTGTGCTAATTATAACTATAAATCTTTTTTATCTTATAAAATCTTATCAATGAAAGTTACATACTCTTATAAAATGGTTTAAAATTCATTTTTTTATTTCAACAGATCCTCCTCTAATTTAGACTTCCTAATTAAATTAGTAATAAATACATTTCCAATTTCATCTAAATTATTGTTTCTTTAAGTTTACGATTTTCAAGAGTTAAGTTATTTTCTTCAGTTAAATATGGTTAAGCTCTTTTAGTTTGCATTTAAGGTACATCAACAGATATTTCTAAGTTCTCATCTGTAGGTTATGATTCCCATAATTTTTGAGTCAATTCTTAGTAAAATTTTTGATCATTAGAAAACTAACCTTTGACAATTGAAGGATGAGCATCTGGAGACTTTTTTTTTTTTAATTAGGAATACATTAATTTATTTCAGTTAAAAAAAATTATGTATAATAACATCAATCTCTTCTCAACACATTTTTCTTAATTATAAAGTTCTTCTATTTTTTCTAATCTAGCTCTGCGTTGCGAATGTTAGAGTACTTTTCTATAATCCACTTAGTAATCTTTTAAGTATTTACAAAACGAATAAGTTTGAAGTCCATCATTTTACTATTTTATAATACTCATTAGAGCAGCTAAAAGTTCTGGATTCTTTTTTCCAACCAAGATTATTAGATTAGAATTTAAAATTACATTCAAAACACCATGTCGATGATATTTTTCTATTTATTATATAAGTCGGGCACCAAATATTTAGGCTTGTAACTCAGTTAAATTGTGCTATCTTAAAGCTAATCGGTAGATGTCTTACCTTTTGTAGGAAAGACAATCTTTTAAGAGATTTAATGAATTAACATCATTTAACAATTTAAATAATAATGGTAAATATCTTTCTTAATAATGAGTTTTTCTCATAAATTCTATTATAAGTGTAGGAAGCAAATCTTCAAAAATTTAAGATTCGTAAAATTAGAAATTCAAAATTTCATTTATTACTTTTATTGGATTATCTTTGATTTTTTTAATTAAATAATACTGTAATTTAGATTTAAGCTTATCATTTTTAATAACAGCATATGAATGGAAAGGGTGAAGCATTGCTTTTTCTTCAGTAATCAAGGAATCAACTTCTTATCCACATATAAATCTCAAATATAGAAGACCATTTTCTAGAAAGGAAAATTTACATACTTATTTTATATAATCTGAAAAAACACTTAATTTTTACATGTAATTATTTGCAAATTTTAATTTTCTAAAAGTTAAAATAATTTATGCCAATTTATTGGCTTATTGAATTGTATGTGAATTAATCTCCTATTATAACCTTTAAATAATTTCATCAATTAATCTTTCAACTTCTTATTATGTACATATCGGTTCAAGATTTATTAAAATTTATTAAATAAAATTAATTGTTATTTTTTAAGGTTTTTATTTTAGTTATTTCAACAAAAATTCTTTAATTTTAATTTCTAAATCTGGAGCAACTTCAAGAGGCAACAATTAATAATTATTAACAATTGATAAGATAGTATGTTCATCCATCTTATTTAGATTTTCTATTAAAAATTATCTCATTTTGATGATAATTGGATGCGACTCTAAATATGGATTTAAATATTAATATTTCATTTTAAGTAACATTATGTAAAATTGAGTGACTTGTTAGAAATCATAATAGAGAAAATTAGCATCATAATGAGAAATACAAAATTCAACTAATTCTGAATTAACAAATTTTCTTTTTTGAGATTTCATCATTTCACATCTTACTAAAAGAACTACTTCCATAGATGAAAGAGGTTCAGTATTTAATCTATTTTAAACTAATTAGTGAATTTAAGGTAAAAACATGTTTATTACTTAGGAATCATACCATATGTTTATATAATGTCTAATACTGAAATCATTGCAATCTTTCAAAGTCTTATTTAAAGAATTCGATAAACTTTTATCATCTACATTATTCAGCAATTATTATTGTCCTTTTAATTGATATTTAGATTTAAAACATAGTAATTCAAGCAAATCTATTGGAGTAAGTTAATTGAGGTTGTTGTTTAGTAATGTTGAAATTTCTTTCATTCCTTTCTGAAAAGTGGGTTCATTTTGATAAATTTTAACAGAATTTAAAAAATGAGCAATAATACGAATAGTAAGTAATGAATGCTAAATGCCAAATATTTTTTTATTCTAGTTAAATATATCGATTAAGATTTTAGGATCTACATGTTGACTAATAAGCGCCATCAATTCTTGTTCGTTTGTCACAACTTTCACATTCTCATTTGGGATATCAAAAATATCAATATCACTATCTGATTCATTTTCAAAAGATTCTCGAAATGCAAAATTTAGTAAATTAGAGTGAGTAGAAAATCTCTATTTCAATAATGTTCTAAAAATTATCATAAATATTTTTATTATTATTTTTCATTTGGCAACAATTGTATTATTTCTAACAAACTCTAAGACTGATTCGACAGTTCTATCTTCACCTTTCCAAGGAATAGCCTTTCTCTATTTATCGGCAGCTCTAAACAATACCAAATCAGGATATGAGTGTGGAGAATAAACATCAGAAATCTCATTATCTGGAGCATTTATTTGAGCTACAACTAAATTAGGGTTATCCCTCAATTCATAAGCAATTTAATCATAAAGTGGTTTAAATTATTTGCAAGCTCCACACCATTCAGCATAGAATTCTAATAAAACATCTTTTTTATTTTTTATAACCTCTTCATCGTAATTAAAAGCTACAACTTTCTAAATAGAATAAAATAATTAATTACTCTAACATAAGTTTTCTCTTAGGAATAATCAGGCAATGGTTCAGATTTGATAAATTTTTCTAATTTACCTTGTCTGAAATCAAAAATAAAGCTTTTGATTCCTTTAACTGTAAAATCAGGTCCATTGTATTTATATTTTAACCCTTAGTTCCAAGCAATAATCTTAGGGAATACATTGTCATCTGCTCCAAGATTGTTTAATTAATCAAAGAATTTTTCATCTGTAATTTTTGTATATGAAAATTAATATGTTTTTTTAAACAATTAAGCAGTTTCAATGAATGCTTTTTCAGCTTTAATAGATTATTCATCTAAACTACTAAATAAAATAAAGGCTGGAGTAGCTCCAGAATAAACTAATTTTTCTGATTAATCATTTAATTATGGTACATCAGGCAATTAATTTTGTAATAAAAATCTTTGAATATTTTGTTTAGTAAAGGCTTGATTGAATTATTTCTTTTCTGAGCTTTCTTTAGAATAATAATACAATCTTCCAGGTTTACCAATGTTAAAAAGAAATGAGAAAGCAAAGGCGGCATCCGAATTAGTCTTGCTCATTTCGAAAAAGGTCCAATAATTAGGATCATTAACATTGTTTTCTGAAAGCTGATAGTAGAGTACAACATCATTGTCATTCAAAAATTAATTGAATTATTCTTATGTCAAGATCTCTGTAGGATTAGGTCCATTGACTAACTAAAATGATATAGATTATAATTGTATACCTATAACATCCACTAAAGCATAGAATCAGCACTTCTTTATCCAGCAAATTGGAAAGGTTTACCATCCATAAAAAAAATGAATGTTGGGAAAGATGAGATTTTGAATTTTTCAAGAGCATATCTATCAGGATCTCTTTGTGAATCATAAGCAGCACAAGCAATTGAGTGTTTGGATGCTTTATCTGTAAGTTGTTGATATTCAGGGGCAAATTGTTTGCATGGAGCACACCAAGAAGCATAAAATTCAATTAAAATTAAACGATGGCCTGATATTAAAGCATCAACATTGTTTGGTAATGCAACAATAGGTTGTATTTATGGTTGGGGTGTCTCAACAGTAGTAGGATTTTCATCTTAAACTGTTGCTGTTTCTGTTGGATCTTATGCTAAGAGTAATGCAATGAAACAGAATATTAGGTTAAATTTCATTATTAATTATTTCATGAACTAATCTGAAGATTCTACAACAAAACTATTGCAATCAGAAGTTCTCTAAATTGAATCAAATAAAGAGAGTGTTTTGATACCTCAGGAAAATTAAAGAATTTCATGGAAATAAGAATTGAAGAATATTTTTATTGTACCAATATAGAAATGTGGTCGAAAAATAAGTTTAGATGGAAATTGTACCCCTATTAATTAATAAAGTAATGTAATCAAGAATTCTAAATATAATGTTGTCACATTTCTTCCAAAAGTGCTTTATGAATAGTTTCATTAATTCATTAACATCTTTTATTTGGGATTGACAATTTCTTAATTCATTTAGCCATTTAAAGTTGGATTTCTTATAGGGTATTTGGGGCCTTTAGCTTTGGTGGTTACTCTTAGTGTCCTCAAAGAATTGTATGATGATATCAAAAGGCATAAAAGAGATAGATAAATTAATAGTACAATTTATAAGCGCTTTTTAAATGGTTAATGGCAAGATATTACTAGTGGATAATTGTAAGTAGGAATGATCATCAAGATTAACAGTAATCAACGAATACCTGCAGACATTTTAGTCTTAGAGGCAACTGATGATTAAGTATTTATTCGTACAGATTAATTGGATGGAGAAACAGATTGGAAATTAAGAAAACCTGTTTAATATATCTAAAAGAAAGGTTTATCAAACTTAGATTTGACAAATTATTTTTTGAATTGTGCTCAACCTTAAGAAAATATATATGATTTTCATGCTGTATTTCACTCCTTATAATCATAAGAAAAAGAGCCATTATCATTAGAAAATGTTATGTGGGCAAGCACAGTTTTAGCAAATGGTAGTATTAATGGTATAGTTATTTATAATGGATTTGAAACAAGAATGGCAATGAATAGTAGGCAACCTCAAACTAAATTTGGGAAAATCGACAGTATTTTTATTTCATAATTAGTTAGCTGAAATAAATTATATGTCTATAATGTTATTTATTGCGATGGGACTTTTATCAATAATAATAACGATTCTTTCTCAACCAGCATTAAATTTTCTAGCAATAAGTGTGGCATTTGTTCGATACCTAATTTTGTTATCAAATATAATTCCAATATCTATGAGAGTCAATGTAGAATTTGCAAAACTAATATATTGTTATAAAATTTCTATAGATAAGGGGATAGAGGGGACAATAGCACGAAATTCAAATATTCCTGAGTCGTTGGGTAGAATAGAATATTTGTTAACAGATAAAACAGGAACATTAACATAAAATGATATGATTTTCAAGAGGTTATCATTAAAATAGAATGTTTATACTTCGGAAAATTACGATGAGATGAAATAAAGTTTGTTAACTGAATAAGCAATAGGTAATGGAGAAGAAGATGCAATTTTAAGAGACTTATTGTTAGCAATAGCATTATGTCATAATGTAACTCCAATTGAGGAGAATGGTGAGAGATAATATTAAGCATCATCTCCAGATGAAGTGGCTTTGGTGAAAATAGCTGAATCTCTTGGAATAAGTTTATTGAGTAGAGATTAAAATGCAATGGTGATAAAATATAATGGAAGAGAAAGGAATTATGAAATATTATATAATTTTCCATTCTCTAGTGAGAGTAAAAGAATGGGAATTTTATTGAAATAAGAGGATTTATATATATTTTATCTGAAAGGAGCAGATGCAGTAATGAAACAGTTCTTGCCTGAAACTTAAAGAGGATTTGTAGATGAAGAATGTGAAAATTTAGCTCGAGAGGGATTAAGGACATTAGTATTAACATAAAAGATAGTGAATAAATAATTTTATGAGAATTGGAAACTTAAATATGAATAAGCTAAATGTATTGAGAATATAACATAGAGACAAAATAAATTAGGTAAAGTTAGAAAAGAGTTGGAAAACAATATGCAATTTTTAGGAATAACAGGTGTTGAAGATAAATTATAAGAAGATGTTTGTTAAACCTTAGAAAATATAAGAAATGCTGGAATCAATGTTTGGATGTTAACCGGTGATAAAATAGAGACAGCTATATGTATAGCAATATCAAGTGGTATTAAATCAGGGACTTAGGAAATATTTCAGCTAAAAGAAATAACTGATGAAGAAACCCTCTAATAAAGATTGTAGTAATTTGAGACTAGAACTAATTAATTATTAGTGATTGATGGTACTAGTCTTACTACAGCATTTAAAAAAGAAGAATTCTTCTTTAGAATTGCAACTTAAGCTTAATCAGTTGTTTGTTGTAGATGTTCACCTACTTAAAAAGCATTGGTTACTGAATGTATAAAAAAATATACTAATAAAATTACTGCATCTATTGGAGATGGAGGTAATGATGTTGGTATGATCTAATCAGCTGATGTTGGAATAGGAATTGAAGGTAAAGAAGGTAAATAAGCAGCTCTGGCTAGCGATTTCTCAATTCTAAAATTTAAATATCTGAATTAACTATTACTTTGGCATGGTAGATTATCTTATAAGAGATCTGCTTTGCTATCTTAATTTGTAACTCATAGAGGATTGATAATTTCTATGATTTAAACTGTATTCATGTGCATTTACTTTTATTTAAGTATTAGTATCTTCAGTAGTACATTGATTCTTGGATACGCTACCATTTATACGTAATTATTTATTTATCTATTTTAGAATGTTCCCTGTCTTTAGCATCATATTCGATGAAGATGTTGTAGAAAAGGTAGCACTGGAATTTCCTCCACTTTATAAATCATTACAAAAGAGCAGGGATTTAAATCCAAAGACATTTATGATTTGGTGTTGGAAAGCCACCTATTAGGGTGCTATCATAATGATTTTGGCTTAATTTCTGTATCAGAATGTATTTCTGTATATTGAAACTGCTGCTTTCACATCATTAATCATAACTGAATTTTGCATGATTTTCAGTGAAGTAATACATCAATATTTAATCTAGCTTAATTCTTTGCATATTGTTATGTTCATTTCAACTATTGGTTCTACTGTCTTTTATGTTCTTACTATGGTTCTTCTTCCAGAAACACTTGTTGTTGCAGAAGTTCTCAATTTAACCTTTTGGGTGAACACTTTAATCATAGTACTATTCAGTTGGATGCCAATATTTCTATGTTAATGGTTTATACGAATCAAATAACCTAATGATTATGAAAAAATCATGAAATAAGTAAAAGGTAAGAACAAAATAAAAACAAATCTGTTCACTTGAATTATATATTTATTATAATATATTGACTTTTATTCAAAAATTATGGTATATCATTTGTATTATTCCTTCTTAGAATAGCAAACTCAGTGGAAAGATTAAAAAGCCTCAAGTTGTTGAGGAAATATAAAGTAATTTCATCATTTAAAATAAAGCTAAACCAAGAACTGAAGAATAGATATAAACTGTTGTAAAAAATGTTAGGAATGGAGATGTGTCTAATCCAGAAGTTGTCCTCTTAGGGGAAGCTGAATTATAAAGAATGAAGGTATTGGTTATATTTTCAATATTTTCAGAACAATGCTATCATAACGACCAAAGAAGAATAATTATACTAAAAAAAATTGCTTGAAGAATAAAAAGAGAAGTAGATGGCTGCAGCAAAGGCCAAAAAGTAAAAAATGTTGCAAATGGAAGAAGAAAAGAAAAAATAAGTACCTCTCTCAACATAATAAGAAGAAGACAAGGTAGTTAAAGATTCACTTCTTGCAAGAGTAAAAATATGATTTTTTATTCTTTTTTAGGCTGCAGAAATCATGAATGAATAGATGGATGATGTAAAAGAAATGAATAAAATGGTTATGTATGCAAAATGTGTAACTGTTCGAGATAAACAATTACAGGAGAAAAAAGAACTTCATGATTAATATAAAACATAAGAGAAACGTAAGGATTTGATGATGGAGATTGAAAGACTTAAATCTATAAAATATCATGAAGAAAAAGATAAATAAAGAAAAGTTGAATAAAAACATGGTCATGATATTATTATTGAATAAATTAAGGAAAGAGAACTTATTCGTTTAAAAGATAAAGAAGAATAAGAAAGAGAAGGATAGGTCATGCTTAAATAAATTAAATAATTGCAATAGGAAGAATAATAGAAGGCGATGCAAAAGAAAATATCTTAATAAAAGGTTTAGGAAGAAATCTTAGAAGCTAATGATAGAGCTATTTTAGTAAAAGAGAAGAGAAAGTTGGAAGAAAGAGAAGAAGAAGAAATGATAGTCAAATATAATTTATAAAAAGCATAAAAAGAAGCAGAGTTATAGGAAGAGTAAAGAAGAATCAAAGAAGAAAAAGAAAGGGAAGTTTAAAGATTAAGAGAAATGCAAGAAAAAGCATAAGATAGATAAGCAGAATTAGATGTATTAAGAGCTAAAAGAGCTATGGAATAAAATGAAAGATAAGCTAGAGAGAAAGAAAGAAAAGAGGCAGAATGGAAAATGAAATTAAATCATGAAGTTTAAGAAGCTAGGAAATTGCAACAATCAGAAAAATAAGAAAGATTAGAAGAATAAGTATTTATCTTTAATTAGTGTTTTATTAGGCTAGATTAGAAAGAGATGAATTTTAGAGAGTCATATAAAAATAAAAATAAGAGAGAGAAAATGAATTGAAATTGCATCATGAAAAAGAAGCATTAGTGAAAAAGCATGCAGATGAACTCAGAAAGTAGATATCTCTTAATGAGGAAAAAAGAAAATAAGAAGAAAGAGACAAGTATAATATTTATTATATTTATAAAAGATTGGAAGAAGGCAAAAAAATAAGGGATAAAATGTTGAATGAAAAGAAATTATTGGAAAATATCAAAGAAACAAAAATTAAGACATTAAATGACAACTCAATACCAGATAAATATAAAGCAGAATTGGCAAGGAAAAAAATTAATATATTAATTTGAACAAATTCATTATTCATCGATTTAAGTGGGTTCTTAAATGTAAGTTTCTTTTAATGCATCGATGACTCTTTCTATTAATTCTTTCCATGTTTATGGCTTATATGTTTAAAGATGGTTTGCTAATTGATTTATTCTTTCTTCTAAATTTTCAATTCTTTAATCTATGTAGCATTTCCTAGGATCAGCAATTGCCCTGAATTAATGCTCTTCTTCAATTACTTTTGGATAATTCCATAATTCTGGAGGTCTTCTCATTAAAACATATTAGTTATCATAATCTTTCTTTCTTAATTCATTAAATAATAGACTTGGATCATTTTATTGTAATTATCTATTTCGAATCCTAAATTAAATTTTAATACGTTTTATACTTTGGTATCATACCTTCTTTAATTATTTCATCTTCAATATCTTGTTATACTGCTTTATTAATATGTCTAACTCTTTCCACACAATCTTCAAACACTTATTTATTTTCTTATGTACAATAAAAATCCCATAACCAATACCTTCCATACTTATCCATCAATTTTTATTGCTCTTTTTCTCTTGCTGTCTCTTCCGCCAACTTTAATTCCTCTTCCTTCCTTTTTTATTCTTCTTCTACTTATCTTTTTCTTTCAGGAGAAATATAAACACTAGATTGAGCATTAGCCAAATTTTCATCTTATGTACTTTGTAATTATGAATTTTGAAGTAATGTTTGTTTCTATAATTCTTATTCTTCCTATTTTTACTACTTTAAATCATCCTCTTTTTTTCTATCTCTCCAAGCTCTCATATATAGGATCGTATGATAAGCTATTAATTTTGGTATGCTACCCTTAACGCAATTTTCATCTTTCTTTTGCAAAAACTCCCTTGCTTAAGGATTTGCATTAAAAATTACGCTTAAAACTTTAAATACAAAATTAATTTAGTCTCTTTTTAATGCAGATCCAAGTAAATGTTCACTTATTAATTCTGCCTTAATGACTTCATTAATATCAATTACAAATTACTAATGATTTTTATATAAACATACTTAATTATCCATCAAAGGTGCTTTATAATAATTTATACCTTTCAGCATCAAACAAAACAAATTCCTTCTCATCTTTTCGAATGCTTCAAGTAGTGGTTTCAGATAAAATGATTCTATTTTATTATTTTACCTAAATTCATATACATATATATAACTTACCAATTTTCATAACCTAATTTGTTAAAAATAAGCTTTACGTTAGGATTGGCTTTTATTGCCTATGATTCAAGTAAGATTCTTTAGCATTCTTATAAGCAAATGCAATATTATTCAATATCTGCTTTCATAATAAAATCTCTAATCATCCGATCTCGATGTGCTGTATTTCTCAAATCAAAAAACATTAATTTCTTATTAATTTCTAGGAGTGCTCTCAATGCTGCTGTTACTTACATCAAACGTTCTTCTATAAGTTTATGACTAATCTTAATTAGAATAGGCAATTTTTTAACAAATTCATTCAATAACGTTTGCAAATTTTTTCTTTCTGCTTAATAATTTTCAGAATTCATTTCTAAAAACTTATGATCCTCCAAAGCTAAAATAATCTCACTTTTTTTAAGTTACTTCTGAATATTTTTGCAAAAGCCTATTTCACATGGTTTCCTCGATCTTTGTCTAATTTTTCAACAGAACAATAAATGCCATCTATATATTGTTTTATGATCTATTTATTTATTTCAATATCTTCTTGAGCAAAGAATGCGCTTCGAATATGAATATGATCAATATATTTGAACTTTGGTTTACACTTAAATACTTAGCATAATTCAAACAATTTATTATGATATATCTATTTAACATGAATTTTACTTGCCAGTTTCCAGTTAAATCTTTAGTCGTTTCAGAAATATTAGCGTCTAGTGATTTCGAAACTATCTTAAGTTCATTCCAAACTCTAAACTCATCAGATTCTTTCCATTTTTCAAATTGTTCCTATTATCTACTTTTTCAATACCTATTATAATTAGGGATCAATTTATTTAGGCTTTTTCGGAGGCATTAAATATAATTTATTATAAAATATTAATAAAAATATATAAATAGCTACAAAATGTATAGAGATTATTTAACAAAATCTAAATTTATTATAGATTAACCTGAAAATAGAATATTTTTTTTTCGTATTATTTAATAAATTACATGAGTAAGACTCCATAAAAAATGTGCGCTCACTTATAAGTTCAAAGTTTAGCTTATGAAATTTATAATAAACATATTCTTGTTCTTTTTTTTTTTCTCTCATGTTTTTTAAAGATTCGATACACATTTTAATAGGGAAATTTAATTACAATTTATAAATATATGAGAGAATTTGAATAAAACGATGATTTTGCAATATATTAACGAAATTTTATCTCAACAATTAATGAATTGTTATTTTTGATAACCTTTAAAAAATAAGTCGAATATTCTCTTTTTTGATAAAATTTTGAGAGATAAAATAGGAAAATTAGTGAATTTAATTAAATTAATAGAAATTTAAAACTCGAATAAATTGTGGTTGTTTTATTAATTTGTGAGTTTTACTTAGGTTGATTTGAAACTTATTTTTGAAAAAAAATTAAAAAGTACATTAGAATATAAATGCTAATTGATTGCATTTATAAATGATTAATTAATTTGAAGATTATAAAAAATTTTTAGAAGAAATCTCTGATTTATAAGAATAAATCAAAAAAGTACTCAAATTAAATCTTGAATTTTTATATTATAATTTTCATCTCAGTTGTTTTAACTTTTCTTCAATTAGTGTTTATGTATATGAAGCTTAGAACTGAAAATTAGAATCTAAAGTTTCAATCATCTATAAATTTTTTATCCCTTTACTAAATAGATATCCGAAATCAATACTTTAATTATTCTTTTATTTATTTTTGTAGCTCATTCTTTAAATGAAGTAGCCAATTATTGCTAAATTTAACCAATTCTTCTCTGAATGTATTTAAAGTCTAAGCTATTTATTTATGTGCTTTCTCTAAATTATTTTTCGTCTCACCCTAAGCCTTTTTTTGAAGAGAAAATATCTTTTTTTTTATTTCATCTGATTGTTTTATAAGAATTATCAAAACAGGAAAGGTATGCTTATAAAAGCGATTAAGAATTCTAATAGAATTTGATGGGATTTCATCATTATTTATTACCTTTTGTATGATTTTAGTAATATCTTAAATTTTTGAAAGATCCACTTAATAATCATTTGTTGGAATATCATTTTGAGGTTTAAATAATGTTATGTAAAATCTTCCAATTGAAAGTCGAAGTTCCCTTTCATAGTTTATGAACCTAATCATATCCATTTATAAGATTACTCTTTGTAATCAATTAAATATTTAATTGGTAAAGGCTAATTTGGCAATTAATTTCTGTAACTTAGCTCAAACTCTTTGTAATTTTATTGGATATTTACAATATTTTTATATACATTCAGAACATTTTACACTTCTTAAATATCATTTTTTAATTCTTAAATACTATTATTATACTAAATAGAATAAAAATCTTATTTACACATAAAAATAGAGTTTCTAAAAGTAACTGTGTTTAACTTTAATAAATTCCAATATAATTATCATATTTTAACTTATTATTATGAAATTCTCTTATAAAATAGCTCTAAAAGTGAGTTTCTTAAATTGAAAATGTTGAAGGAGTTTTAAGCTTATTTTATATTTGCTGGCAAAAATACTCCAAATTGCATTATTGTTTTTGTTTTTCATTATTGAATAAATTGCATTAAACAAAATAATAAATTAATTTCACATAAGAATTTGATATCCACTTTTCAAATTGATAAAATGACTCAAAAGGTACATAATTCATCATTTTTAATGATGTTAATAAATTTTTTTTAGATTCTCTAACATTATCTAAATAAAATAGTAATGCTTATTAATTTTTTATTTCAACCTAATCTGAATTATTTCCAAATTCAAGGAATGCTTTTGCATAAGTCATCCCTAAAGTTTCAAATTACACTCCTTTTATATCTAATCTTGTTAATGATTCAATTGCTTATTCTAATAATCCTAATTCACATAATATAATTATTTGTCTAAACAAAAAATCAAAATTATATGGAGAATTTTTCAATCCTATGTCAATTAATTCTAAACTCTTTATCATTTTTTTAAAATCATTGACATCATAAAGAATGTCAATTGCAATCATTAAATATTCATCTTATAATAATCTATCTCCTTTTTCTACTTTTTCTGGTACAGCATATGATGAATACAATTAAATTAATTCATCAAGATATTTTGTTGGTTCTTGTGAAATATAAATCTCCAACTTTTTCAAATTTATGTGAGCAATAGTTTAGGCTTCTTTAGATTAAGATTGTGTTTTTACATTTTAAATAATATTATAAATTTCTTGATGTAGTTTCAATTTAGGAATTGCTTTAAATAATTCTGCACAAAAGGTATATTTATCTCCTTAACATTTAAAGAATAGTTCAACTAATCTTAATGTTTCTTCAACATTTGAATTTTAAGATAAGTTTAATATTTTTAATGAAATTAATATAAGTTACTTTAATGCTAAACTATTTTTTATTGATTTTAATAATAATTAACAACTATTGTAAATATGACTTAATAATTTATCTTTTGGAACAATTTAAAATGGTATTTCTATCTATTCAATTTCTAATTAAAATGTCTCAGTATAAAAGGCTAATACAATTTGTTCTTAACATTCAAAATTAATTAGTATTTACTCTGTAGCTAATGAGTTATAAACTTAATAATGGTATTTTAGTGTTTATTCGTATGTGAAATCTAAAATTAAAATTAATTATACCAGTAGGATTATTTTAATAAATCCATAAAGAAATGGCTGCATTATATTAATATTCAATAAATAAGAGACCATAATTGTCGAGAATTTATTAAACTTTTTGTACATTTTTGTTTTTTTAATTTTAGTAATATTTCAATTAAAATTTTATCAACTAAGTTCCTAATTCTTTATTATTACAAAGTTCCAAATTGCTATATAATTTATTATCAATACTTCTCTAATTTAATATTTTTAGCTACTGTATCAAGAAACATTTCAGTAATTTTCCCACCCATATCCTCCTTTTAACTTTACAAAACTATAAACTCCATTAAAAGTTCTTGATTTTTTTTTCCTTCCTAATTGTAAAATTTTAGAGAATTCTATGATGCATCCTAAAATCGATGAGCTTAGATTAATTGAAAATAATATTCTTTTATCTATTCAGGGGTTTGTGGTTTAAATTTATCAAAATAAATATCCATTATATTTAGATCTTTACATAAATCAAAATGGAATTAAATAATCTCTGAATCTACTTCATTTAAATTTTCATTTAAAATTTTAATTGCTTCACCTAAAGCTCCAAGCTTTATTAAGATTAATGCTTTCAATAATTGTAATTTTTTTTTTTCTGCTTAGTTAAATTTAGGCTTTTTCAATTATCTATCTATTTCAACTAAAGCACTTTAACCTTCTCCTCTATTTATTTATCCAGTTATATTGTCAAAAAGTGATTAAAAAGATGATTATTGAGGCATCATTGAGAATAAATTAATTTTTATTTTTATTTCACTATTTGTTGTTTTTTTAATATGAAAATAGAATCATATATACTTTTAAAATATTACATTTAGTAAAAGTTAAGCTAGATTAATATTTCTATAAATTTAATTCGTGTTTTTTTATTTCATTCTTAATTAAGCAACTTGTGATTATAAATATTAAGAATTTATATTCTACTCTATTATTCTTATTTAATTATAATATATACAAATTGCTCTGAAATTTTGATATAGTATGATAAATCAAATTCTCAAAATGTGCATTTCTAATTTTCAATAGATTTAATTATTTTAGTTAATTTTTATGGATTAATAATAGCAAGATTAAGTCCAATATACAACTTATGAAAATTTGTAAGATTAAGAAATATAAAAAAATGATCCAAATGATTGGAAATAACAATTTTTGTTTATAGATAGTTTAAGAGCTTAAAACAAATTTCATAGTGATTCATTTAAAATATAAGAATGGTGGGATTAACTTTAACCCTTAACAGATAGTATAAGAAGCAATGTTTCAAAAAATGCATTAATGCTGATTAAAGAAACAAGTATGACTAATTAAATAACAAGTTTAACACCAAAATGTTTATGATGAAAAAATTTTGCATAAATTATTTGAAAAATGTGAAAGCGATTTTAAATTTTTAAAAAATGAAGCCTTATAAACAATTGAGATTTTATCAAATAAACCATATTCTAATGATCTCATTTAGATTCTATGTAATATTACATTATAATCTAATTATGTATAATATAATTTTATAATAGAAATTGTAAACACATTCTTATCCTACTTTAGTGAAAATCGTATTAGCTTCCGATTTTAATTTTGATTGGGATAATATAATTAAAGCTACAGTAGCAGTTTTCAATGGAAAAAGTGTTGAGTGTAAAAAAGCAAGTGATTAGTTATATTTGGCTTTATAAAAAAAGAGCCCAGAAGTATTAGAAAAAGAAGAATAACTAAAACTGATAGGAGAGAGAACAAAATAAAAAGGTCCTTCAAAAGGGTTTAAGGAGTTTTTATAATAATAAAAGAAATGATTTCGAATTTATTTATATTAAAAAAAATAAAAAGCATATCTATTCCAATTAAAAAAATAACCAAAATATTAAACTAATGAAAACTATTGATAATGATAATTAGCTTTCTAAGTTTAAATACGCTGATAGTTATGTTTTATTTTGGAAAATATAACTTTTCTAAATAATTAAAAGAAAAACTATTATAATAATTTAAATAAAAAAAAACTATGAGAATAAACTTTCAAATTAAGATAATGAGTGAATCGATGATCCTATAAGTTTATTTTAAAATAATAATATATCTTTTTTTGAGGTTACTATCAGGTTTTTCTCTTAAGTCAACTTATAATTTAATCTTCAGAATAAAATATAAGTTCTATAAGGAACAATAGAATGTAATTTTTTATATTTTTCATATGAGCATAGTATAATTCTAAAAAAGAGCATTAATTCATGAGAAGAATATATTTGTCTTTAGATATATTAATAAATTTGCTCTATTTTTAATTTAAAGAAAAAAATTACCTTCTTATTTTAATGTGAGAATTATTTTAATAATGTGGCTAGTGTCTTGATGAAATTTAAAATATAAGAAATTATTTAAGTAATTCTGTAAAACAATCATTAGTAGGAACTGACTGAGAATTAGTTTTAAAACATTCTGCTGAATTTCTGATTATTATATGAATCATGTTTGTACTTAAAAGTTAAATGAAATATATCTCAATCTCAATATGAAAGTATTATCCATCATAAATAATAAAAATACTAATTAAAGGTAGTGAAATATGAACATAATGGATTAGATGAATTTCATCTTGGTGAATGAGTCATTAGACAATGATTGTATAGTGGTTAGGTTTATGGTTAATAACCAAGAGGTTTTGCCAAAAATAGAGTTCAAATTGACTAAAAATTATTCAGAGCAATATTCATCAGTCCTATTTGAACATCTAAATAATCACATTCCTAAAGAGTTTCACTATTTATATTTTGTAAGTTATTGATAAACTATTAAATTGCTTAGAATGAACCTTTAGAATGCATGAAAAAATCAAGATTCAATTTGATTGCTTATTTAAGCGTGGATGTTATACTAAAAATATTAAACATAAAATATATACCGATAATAAGAACAAATTATTCTCGGTACACAATCAGTGATGTAAATTGTACAAATATTCAACTTAGGCTATTCAAGAGGGAAGCACATCAGTAATTGACAAAATGAACTAGAGTTGGTAAAGATAATGTAAATTCAAATCTAAGATGACAAAAGAGTTTATGTCAACTTTAAATGAATTCAAATATTACTATCGTATAGAGATTCTAATGACATCGACATTACAATAAATAAAATAAGAAATATATTCTGAGTATGATGTACTTTATGTACCAACAGATGACTTAATATTCTTAAAAACCAATAAAAAATAAAAACTTTCATTGTCAAGTCATAATTTAGAGCAAATAAAATAATGTAATTAGTTAATATGAGTTTATATATTATATTAAAAGACAACATATCAAAAATATGTATGCAAAATATTTTCAATATAAATTTAATAATTAAATCAAAACATATTTGTAAATGGCTTAATAAACTCCAAAACAAAATAATTCTAACAACATTAATACCAAATTACAATTCTCTTCTAATTAAAAACAAGCTATTAATTCATCTCAAACTATTGATAATGATGTAATTACCAGTAAAAAGAAGGTAAAATATTATACTGAAATTTTAGGAAGTGTATGACAGATTAATGAGTTCTTAAACTAATAGAGATAATCAAACAGAAGTATCCTAATACTTTGATCATTTAGGAGGTATTTTGAATAAATATAAAACAAAAAGGTAAATGTTTATGTGCATTATGTAACTGTGGGAAACATAAATGTAATGGCAAAAATTGCATACATAAGCCTTAATTGCATGGGAATTATACTATTTATTAAAAAGAGTATTAGAAAAAGACACCAGAGACTGGATCTAGATATAATTAGAATATATTCACTTAACCAAAAGCAGAAGGTGATCTTGGAAATGTGACAACATATAAAGTATTAATCTCAATCCTAATCAAAAAGCATGATTTTCCTGGATATAATAGCAAAGCAGAGCTGTAGAAAAATTCATAGAAACCAACTGTAAGTGGAGTCCCTTTCTCTGGATTGTCAACCTATAACAATATGTACTTAAATTGGGGAATGGGTGATACACCTTAACTTCTACCATAAAACAATCCTACTGTTATAAAAGAAATGCCTTTTATGGGAAGAAGTATATATAAAGACAGTTACTAAGGAGCCTAAGCTCCTCCAGCATAGAGTTGTAAGAATATGAATAAAGCCATGAAGTATTTAATAAATTTATTCAGATCCCCATTATCTCCACCAGATTTGTAATTTTCAGCAGAATCAATAGCTAAATCATCATATAAACCATTTAGAACAGATAAAGTTCCTACAGCTAAGAATCAATAAAATGTATTCTCTTCTATTTATATAATAGCCAAGTTTAAATCCCTCATATAATGGCCAGTATAATAGTGAATATCGTAAAGAATTTGATCCAAAAAGTTTAAATTAATGTCCAGCCAAAGAAGTATTAGAAGAAGTTGCCCGCAATACAGAATTTTGAAGATTTAAATGATTTTGATTAAAGAGAATAAGTAACATTAAAATTTTGATATATTGTTATTATCAAAATATATAACAATTATCTATGAGCGGAAGAGATTTTAATTTTTATAGAGGAAGAGATAAATATCCTAGGCAAGAATTATACAATGAGAATAAATCAGCACCTCGCTTTGTTGAAGATGGTTCTTTTGTAGGGAATTTAGAAAGAAAAATTGAACATTAAAATTTAACAATAAATAACCTTATAAAAGCATTTGAAGAATCAAGATTGGAATAACAAAGATAAATTCAATATTTGGAGAGATTAAAGAAAACAGAAGAACAGAAATATAGTATCTAAATTCTAGAGGAACTTAAGAATTTAAAACACAAGATTAAAAAGATTGAATAAAGCCCACCTATTTAATAATCTACAACTTAAATGTACCAATAACCTTTTCTTCCTCTTATACCTGGTTAATTATAATAAGGCTATCCACCTTAATAGTTTAATTATGCTTAAATTCCTTATTTATAGAATGCATTTCATCAACAAAGCCAACCTATTCAACCTTAATTCTTAAATAATTAAGAATAAATGAGACCAAAAAAACCTTAAGAAATGGATGCTTTGCATAAATTTTTGTTAAAAAGGCTTCATGAGAAAGACCAATATAAGAATATAGATAAAAAGCCTAAAGAAAATTCAGAAGCTCGTTATATAACTGATATGGAATCTTCTGAAAATTATTCTTCCAAAAGATAAAATCGTAAAACACCCATAATTAAATCAAGATCATAAAGAAGATCTTAGAAATAGTAAGATAATATTAAATAAGGACCTTCAGATAATTCTTAAATTAGCATTAGAAAACAATCTTAATTATCCCAAGAATTATCATTAGGAACAGGCTCATAAAAACCATCATAATAAAAGTTAGTAATTACTCAGTAAAGATTGAAACAGTTAATGAGAAAATTTCGCGGAGCAGTAAGATATTTTTGGATAGCATTAACATATTTAAAATTTTGTAAAAAGATTTGGAATTCTAATTTAAACTCTTTTAAGGAATATTCTTAAGAATAGATTGGATTATATGATACTTAATTTGTAAAAATAATACAATTATCATTTATAGAACTATTTGTTAATTATTTCTTAATTTTATAGAGAATGTTAACTTAAGAAATAATTAGATAAATCGTGGATTTTCACTTAAACTTAAGATATTTAAGCTAGATGTCAGACAATGCTCAATGCACTAGAGATATTTTTTCGATATTTAATAGTTTAGCCTTTAGATTTTACTAAAGAACACCTTGAATTTATGAGAAAATTCTCACTAACAAAAGGATATCTTTTAAGTGGACATAGCAAATATGTGACAAGTAGAATTCATTTAAGACCAAATAATACTTTAAAGTATTAACTAATTTATAATTTTAGTATTGAAACACCTGAGTAATCTTAGATGTTACTTATGGAGTATTCATTCATCTAAATATTATTGCCATAAATAGTTGAAGCGGATTTTTGGAAAAAACTGGTTAATTATAAAGAAGCTTTGAAAGTTTTTGTCTCCGTTCTTCATTTTTTATTTATTGATAGATTTTACAACATACCTCTTAATAAATAATAACTACCTTTTAATGTACATTTATAAAATACTATTTAAGAAAGAATATGTTCCTTCATTTGATTTTAAAAGAAATCCAGTTGAAGGATTTTATATATTAATTGATTCTAATCATCCATCATATGTGGAATCTAAGGAAGAAGTGATTTTAGGATTGTATTCTAAAGCTCAATTACAACCTTTGATTTCACATGTTGGATTTAAGAAGGTCTAAGAAAATTTTAAACTATATTGTGATTTCATTTATTCTTTAATAAAATGAAATACTTTAGTAAAGCAAATTAAAAATATTGATTTTTATAATGTGCGTTTTATAAGCTATCTTTATTTTCATATCTGAGTTTTAACTTAGTAAGCTTGGGAATTTGAAAACCTCTACTTAACTGATAGAGGTATTATTTTAGAAATGAATACTTAAAAAACTACATCGAATTATCGATATAATTTCAATGGATTAATTTAGACTTAAATGTAAAATAATAGTTAGTTCGATAAAAATATCATAAATCAATATTTTTTCTTAATTCACTATAGAATATGTTGGTGTCTGTGTGAGATTCAGAAATTTATTGAGTAGTTTTTTTTTCTTTTTAATTAACGATACATGCCTAACTGAGTAAAGCATCTATGATGTCTATTAATAACTGTAAATATTCGATGAATGGTGCTTCAATACTTGGTTTTTAAGGTTTAACATCCATTTTAAATTCTTAAACTAGAACTCTTTTTCTAATTTAAAAATAATTAGAATTCCACCATATTTCTTCCCTTGATTTCAAGGTTTTCATAGCTAAATATGATTCAATCAAGATCTATGTTAATAATAATCTTACCCTAGCTACACAAATTTCAATTATAGGATAGGCGACATTCATAAAATTTTGTTGAAATGGTATATAGTACTAATTCATTAAGATTCTTAAGAATTTATGAATAGAATTATGGGCATTACTCCTATCAGTTTCAAAAAGTAGTTTCTATTTGTTCTAAGCCATCTAGGTGTCTATCATTTAGAAAAGATTGAAAATTGAGTTTTTAAATTGAATAGATATAGATTCTAAATTCTTCTTAGTTTGTTCTTTTTCAAGAATTATCATAATCTCTTTAGAATTGTAAATTTTGATTTTGATTTTCGTACCAGTAGAGCACAATTACCCCATGTAATTAAATAATAAAAAAATTATCAAAAGTTTAATTATCCAAACGTAAGAGTCGAACTAGAAAAACAAACATTAAGCAATGCTACCAGATAAATTTCTCAAAAAAAGACTAATCTAAAATAATTTATTAAAAAATGTATTTTTCCAATACATAAAAAATTTAGAGATTCAGAATATAAATAATTTAGAATCTTATTTGACAATTAAAACTCAATCAATACAAATTTAATTTCGTAACAATTACAACCTTACAAGTTTAATCTAATCCACACAAACAGGCTAAGCCTAAAAATTCAATAAAGTTATTTACCTAATTTGTCAGCATTCCAATCTAAAGAGGAAATAGGTTATTAACAAACATCCTATTTATTAAGTAGTTCTAATTTTCCTATAACTCCCTTAGGTTTTCCTTCAGTATCCTATATTTGTCTTTAAGATGGATATGAATATTTATAAATATTCAAAGCTCCATCTCCTCCTTAGGTTGCAAATAAGTCTCTGTTCTATGGTAAATGCTTTACTCCCCAAATAGTTGACTTTTATCCTTCATGGATTAATGATGCATATCCATTATTGAAAGTTCTTAAATCAAAAACATTAATTTTGCCTGAATTAAAATTTTTAAAATTACTTTCAAGAGTTGTAGCTACTAATTTATTCATTTGTATATCTTTTCTATCAAATTCTATACCACATATTCCATTTTTTACATTCGTATCCCATATCAATTAATTCTATTTCAAATCAAAAAGTTTAATATCACCATTATCATATCCACAGGCGATTACACGTTCATCATTATATGAATTACCAAATGCTACACTCCATGCATCTGGTATAACATCTTTTTCAATTGGCTCTAAAGATACTACTGGTGCTGCTTATCTTGGATCCCAAACTCTTACACATCCATCTCTTGATCCAGTTACAATTTCAGGAGCTCCTATATTATAACAAGTATCAATAGAATTTATAATTTGATCATGTGCTTTAACTTCAAATGCTATCTAATATTTATTTAAAAATTATACTTTCCTAGTTTCTAGATCCATAACTTTTAATTTTCCATCAAAATCACCAAATGTAAATTAATTATCCAAATATTATCCACATTTTATACCCTTAGGTTATTCTATCTAATGATAAAATTATTTATAACTGATGATAAAGTTTTCAGTTCTGTTTTATTCAATTATAATATTTCAATTATTCCATTTGCTTTGGGTGGTTAACCACATAATACAAATTTTGCAGTTCCTGGAATCCATCTTGTTACAAATGGTGTGAAATTTAATGATTTACTTAGATGTTCAATAATCTAAGGAGCATTTGTTGTGTCCATTATTTATTAATTAATAATTTAATTATCATTTATTATATGCAAAATTAATTATAAAATTTTGTGTTTTTCATTGTATTTCCCTTAATCTCTTTATCATCGATGAGTGCAATGAACTATCAAGGTACTTATTTATATGATTTAATAATCTTATTTTTTTAACATAGCCACAACTCTCTGATGACTCAATTGAAACTGATGTTGATACTTCTGTAGGTTCCCAAACTTATTTTACATAATCTAATCCATTTTTATCACCTTCACTTAATAATTCTTAAATTATTTATTCATCAAAATGTTTAGAAGCAAGTTTCAAGCAAACAGCTTCAGAATTCATAAATTTTTTATGTATTTATATAAATTTTTATTTAGTTTCAGTTCTAAATATATGTTATCAAAATTCTACTTCCAATGAATTTGATCTCAGATTCATTACTAATTTTTCGATACTCAACAAAAGAGATACATTTTTATCAACAATCATTAAAATTTACTTAATATTTCAATTTGTAATACCTAATCTCATTAAATTTTCTAGATTATTTATTAGTTATGATAGATAAATTATATACCATTTTACTCATTATATAAATATTACTAATTACAATCATTAAGAAATCGTATTAAACAAAATTAAATCAAATTCACTTTATTCAATTATTCTATTTTTTTAAAGATGTAATGAATTGTCTATTGTGTTTTATTGGTTTTTAAAAACTAAAGAAGCTTTTTGATTTTCTTTCCCTAACATGTTAAACTGCTAAGATTTCATTCATTTCTGTGCTAATTTATGTACAAAGTCTAGTTGATAGATTTAATAAAATTCCTTGTGTGTCGATTAATTTACCTTCTAATTCACCTAATTTATATTTTAAAAAGAGGATTTATTCAGATTTTTTGATTAAATCCTTGTCTTGATTCTGAATTTTTTAAACTTGTTTCTAATAAAGGGCTTTATATGTTAAATTTTATTTATTCATTAAAGGAGTATGGAACATTTATTAATCAAATAACTTAAATTAATTTCAAATAAATAGTATATGCTTACCTTGTTAATTTAAATAAATAAAATTAGTTAAACTACATATATTTGTAAGGATAAAATGAATTGTAAAAATTGAATGAAAGAAAGTTTAAATTTTAAAAAGGTAATAAATTTATAAAATAATTATACAATAATGTGTGATACAAAATGTGAATGCATACCTTTGTAATTAATCAAATCTCTTTAAAAAAAACAAAAAATTTCTGAAATTGACTTGTAAGGCTGCAATGTGGAACATTTAACTTAATTGAGTTAAATAAAACAAGAAGTGGAGAAATTATATTTAGCATCAAATCGTATTTAAAATATAGATTATATACCATTAAATATTCTCTATTTAGACATTTCCAATAATAGTATAGCTCAAGTAGACTAGCTATAACAATTACAAAAACTAAAAGTTCTTAGATGCGGAAATAATTTAATTGAAAATTTTGAAATTCAGTTATCTTAACTTGAAGTTTTGGATATATCAAATAATTATCTAGATAAATTACCTAATAAACTGCCCAATTTACTATCTTTGACAATTTATGCAAATTCTTTTAAAAACTATGAGAATGATGCTAAAATGAAATACAAAAAGTTATCTATATTAGATGGTTGTATTATTTAGCAATCATTAGAAAATGAATACATAATAAGACTGCAAGAACAACAATTAGCACAGAAATTCTAAATTAATATCGATTATTTGAATAAATGGAGATAGGAAGTTTTCAAATAATTAGTTTAAAATAAATAATATAAATTATTAACTTAGGATCATTTTAAAACAATAAAGTAGTTATTGTTAAAAAATTTTGGTTAAATGAAATATTTATAGATGATTGAGAAGAGAACTAGATAATTATAATAATTATAAAAATAACTATTTAAGTGCTCTAGCAAATTAAAAAGAGAATAATAGTAAAAGTAACATGAGTAATAATTTTTTGTTTACTCTCTAAAGCATTTATTAGAGGAAGAAATTGAAGATGAAAAATTAGACATTTTGATAAAAAAATGCTCAGAATATATAACTAAAATGAAACAACAAAATTTAGCAATGTAAATTTAGATGCAGGGAATTTAATAAGAAAATGAACATTTGAAAGCCCAAGTAGACCATTTTAAATAAATGTATAATTAAATAAGTAATTTTATTGATTTAATATGTAATAGAACAAATAAATCTTAAGAATGAGGATTAAAATAATTAAGATAAAAGCAAGGGTTTTGTAAATTTGTATACTTAGATTAAAAATTTAGAAGAGGAGAAATTAAAATTATAATTTGAATTAAATAGTTGTTAAGAAAGATAGAATGTGGAAATTCTTCATATTAAAGCATAATTAGAATAGTAAATAGCTTTATTGGGTTAAGAGAATTAGTTTTTGAAATAAAAGTTTAATTTATAATAGGAGGAGATTAAGATTAAAATGGATTAAATTTCTTCATAATATGAAAAACAAATATAATTATAAAATTCTGAGCATTAATCTTAGTGTGATAAAATAAGAGTAGACTATTAATAGATTATTGATAATTACGTTCTTAAGGATCAATAAAAAAATTCAGATATATTGAAGTTGAGAGACTTATAAAACGATTTAGAATTATAAATAAGATAAAATAGATAGGAGAGTGATTTCAGTTAAAGAGAATATTCAAATTAAATTAAAGAATTACAATTATAGATGAGATAATATAAAGAAAAAATAATAGATCAAGAAAATTTAATATTACAATTAAAATAGGATTTATAAAAGTAATAAGAAGATGTCTAAAAACAATTAGAATAAGCTAATCTTGAGTAATAGGAAATTTAAAATTAATTATAAAAAACAATATTTGATTAGAGTAACGAAATTTAGGAATAGAAAGCATCTAAAAATAAATTATCAAAATAAAATATGGATTTATTAAAAATGATAGAAATGAAAGATGGAGTAATTCGATAATTAACTCTTGAATAAACAAAGAAAATTGATACTAAATAATTTTAAGTTTCTTTAGACTAAAAATATCAAACCATACCTGATTAAAAATTTACGACTCTTTTAAATTGTAGTGAATAAAAAAAACCAATTTTAGCTGCTCAAACTGATTTAGAAAGAAAAGCTCTATAAATATTATAAGATGATGATTATTGAAATATTATAAATTTTATAAATAAGAACTTTTGATCACAATTCAGGATAATAGAATACAGAACCACATGAAACTAATGGTTAAGCTTAGTACTAAGAATAATTCAATTATTTTTCTAAATCAATCTCTTCATCATTCAATTTACAATTACAAGTTCTAATTTATAAAGACTCATCAAAACAAATTTTAAGTTATCCTAATAAGTATTTTCCTGTAACTTCTAAAGGATATAAAAGTATTTTATACAATCTTTGAAACAAGAAAAAGTGATCTTAACATTCGAACCCAAAACTTAAGCAAAGGCATTCCTTATATCATTTTCAAATAATTGTCTAGTGTTATCAGGATATATTCCAGCTTTAGCTAATATTTCATAATAATTGTATTTTTATGCTAATCCTCCAGCTGTCTAAAAAAAATAATTCTATGAAACTTCTCCTGGATAGCAAGTACCATGTTTTTCCCATTCATATCTTCTTATAAAATGATAAATACCCTCTAAAAGTTTCGGTGTCTGAATATAAACCATTCCAAACAACATCTAATAAATCCTTTGTTTTTTGATATATTTTAGAAGAATCATATGGATCAGTTCTACAATATTAAATTGACCCACAAGATGAGGTTAATTAAGTATTTGGCCATAAACCATGTAAATTCCATCGTTGTCCATCATAATGTCCCATAAATGGACAACTTGGTTCAACCTTGCATACAGATCCAACCCATTCTTAAGCAAGGATATACATATAAGTTGTAGCATTTGATGTGTTAATGATGATAGAGATAATTACAAAAACTAAGATATTTCTTCCTATCATGACGTATTTGATGAAAATTATGTTTAAATATTTATAATTATAATCATGTAGAAATAGTTGATCTTTTTATTATTTTAATATTTGCTAAATAACTAGTATTAAAAATAAAGCATATATCTATTTTTAGGGTTATCTAAATTAAATCTTTTAGTCATTAAAAACTTTATAGAATAAAATTGCAAAATGTTTCTATTATTAATTTAGAAAATGTAAAATTACACTTTATTTCAACTTTATCAATTTATATAAAGTATTTAAGAATAAATGTGCTTTATTTAAGTTCAAAAAAAATTATAAATATAAATTATATTTAGTCTAAATATTTATAAGGGTCATATTTCTTATAAAAAATTAGTTTTTTTCTACTTCTGGTTTAAAATAATCAAAAGAAAGTGAGATCTTAATATAAATTAAAATTTTATTTATTTGAAAAAGAAAAATGAGATAATAGAAAAGTAAGGGAACTATCGTGAAAATTAATTGAGTTTATAATATTTTAATTTTTATTAATTGGAATCAATATAGAATTAATTATATTATTAAATATTTAACAATGACATAAAAATTTTAAATTTAATGACTTCAAATTAAGTAATTTATTAAATAATCATGTCTAAAAAATATTATCATTGCGAATAATAGTTTATTTTTGATGACCAATTAATTTGAATCAGAAGATTATGTTTCAAAAGTTTGAAAATTTCAAATATCGATTTGGAAAGAGAAATGTAGCAAGAGAAGAAGTATATAGATTGCTGTTTTAGGTAAAGTAGATGCAACAAATTTGTAATATTATGATTCAAAGGTTCAAATAGTACTAAGTGGTTTTGATACTAAAATTAATCATGTTGNATTAAATTGACCCACAAGATGAGGTTAATTAAGTATTTGGCCATAAACCATGTAAATTCCATCGTTGTCCATCATAATGTCCCATAAATGGACAACTTGGTTCAACCTTGCATACAGATCCAACCCATTCTTAAGCAAGGATATACATATAAGTTGTAGCATTTGATGTGTTAATGATGATAGAGATAATTACAAAAACTAAGATATTTCTTCCTATCATGACGTATTTGATGAAAATTATGTTTAAATATTTATAATTATAATCATGTAGAAATAGTTGATCTTTTTATTATTTTAATATTTGCTAAATAACTAGTATTAAAAATAAAGCATATATCTATTTTTAGGGTTATCTAAATTAAATCTTTTAGTCATTAAAAACTTTATAGAATAAAATTGCAAAATGTTTCTATTATTAATTTAGAAAATGTAAAATTACACTTTATTTCAACTTTATCAATTTATATAAAGTATTTAAGAATAAATGTGCTTTATTTAAGTTCAAAAAAAATTATAAATATAAATTATATTTAGTCTAAATATTTATAAGGGTCATATTTCTTATAAAAAATTAGTTTTTTTCTACTTCTGGTTTAAAATAATCAAAAGAAAGTGAGATCTTAATATAAATTAAAATTTTATTTATTTGAAAAAGAAAAATGAGATAATAGAAAAGTAAGGGAACTATCGTGAAAATTAATTGAGTTTATAATATTTTAATTTTTATTAATTGGAATCAATATAGAATTAATTATATTATTAAATATTTAACAATGACATAAAAATTTTAAATTTAATGACTTCAAATTAAGTAATTTATTAAATAATCATGTCTAAAAAATATTATCATTGCGAATAATAGTTTATTTTTGATGACCAATTAATTTGAATCAGAAGATTATGTTTCAAAAGTTTGAAAATTTCAAATATCGATTTGGAAAGAGAAATGTAGCAAGAGAAGAAGTATATAGATTGCTGTTTTAGGTAAAGTAGATGCAACAAATTTGTAATATTATGATTCAAAGGTTCAAATAGTACTAAGTGGTTTTGATACTAAAATTAATCATGTTGTTTTGACAGTTAGATATGATCAATAAGCATTTAAAATAAGAATTCTTGGTCATCTAATTAAGAAGTCTAAGTTTATATCTGTATAGCTACAAGGTAAAATACTTGTGGTACATATAATTGAAAATTTGTTCCTTTTTGATTAATCAAATTCTATTTTATAAGTTCCTTTAAATATAAATCAATTTTAAATACTGTTTACTTATTCATATCTTTTTTTCTCTTATATGTTATTTTTTATATTTCTATAAAATACTATTAGATCAACTGATATATTCATTTTTATAATTTATTAACATTCAAATGAATATTAATTTTATAGTTATTCGAATTATTTATAATATTAAATTATAATTAAATTTTGATGAGTGGATCCCCTAAACTTAGGAAACTTAATTTTGGGCCATTAGTGAAAATAAAGAAACCAATTAACTTACCTAAAATAAGAAAATAAGAGGAATCGTTTTAGGCAGCTTTAAATGTTTCTGATTACGATCCAAATTCTGAAAGAGATAGATCATTTAATCGATCATTTAGAAAATTCACTCGGACAACCAATCTAAATTTTTCAACAGAAAAAAAGATATCAGAAGAATATGCTATATATGGATTATCAAAACTTAAAATTGAAAGGAAAGAACAGCCATTTTAAAGTGAAAGAATAATTAAACAATTATATTATACACAATAAGATGAATATAATAATAAATAATGGTTTGAGCTTTGTTTAAAATAACCACCCCCTCATGCTTTAGGATAATTTTATAAATAATCTGAAAAGTAAATTTTAATTTACCCTTTAGGTAATATGAATGGTGTGATGTTTAAATATTAGATTATAATCAAGAAACAGAGAAATTTTTAATTCAACAATATCCCAAAGGTCCCAAGAAACAAGTGGATAGATTATAAATCAAATTCAATAACTAAAACTAATAGTTTTTTGAAACGATGATTTAATAAGAGTATAAAATATTTTAGTATATAGACAACTTTAGCATGATGAGAAATAATCTGAAATAGCTTATGTTAATAAGGTTATGGCTGTTGATTCTAAATTAGTTAATTAAATCTCTGATTAATTAAAATAGAAGCTTTTGATAAGATTTTAAAAATATAAGAATTAAAATCTAATTACTAATTTAATTACATAAGTAGAAGATATGTATTAATAAAATATGAAGAAATGTGTGTATTTGAAAGATTTAACTAAATATAAATAAAAATTTGTTCCTATTCCTAGAATGAAAATATTTTATGCCTCATAATAATAATTAAAGAAGAGTCTTATGTTTGTAAATAAAGCTGTGATAGATTGTTGGTTATAAATGATTAAATTTATGAACAATTTCTAAGTCAATTTATTTGAATTTGATAAAATACAGTTACCACTTACATGGGATAAATTTGAATAGTTAATTGATGATAATATGAAGAGAATTGAATAACAATTAAAAAAATAAAGATTCTTTATTTATGCTTAAATTTAAGAAAATTTATAGAATACATTTAATTTCTTTAATATCACAATGCCTGAATATGTTGCAAGTGATTTGAAAAGTGTTGTGAAAAGATTTGATTTACATTATACTGAATATCTTTATAAGCTATTAAGAGATGAATAATAAAAGATAATTAGATTTTATTAAAAGTTTTAATTAATTTAATAGAATATAAAATTAGTAGCAACATCTTTATTTTAATTAAAGATTGTTGGAATGAATAAATAAAAAATTGAAAAGTTTGAATAAACAAGAAATTCTATCAATGATGATTTAGAATTGATTACTTTAGATAGTCCATTACAAACAGTAATCAATATAGCAACATATCCAAATAGATGTTTGTTTAATATAATTTCTTAATTAAATAAGATAGAAAGTGAAATAGTTCCATTACTGAAGATTCCTTAGCAATATTCAATAGAAAGAGAAAATTTAGCTTTTTTTGAAGTAACCAAATAAGAAACAGCAGATTTAATTGAGAAAGAATATTTTAAATGCCAATAATTTAGCAAAAAGTTTTTACCATATTAATATTTATTGATGCCAATGAAAACAAAAGCTATTAATAAAATTTTTGGGATTGAAGGAAAAGAGAAACCTTCTTTAAATTAAATTAGACTTTCTGTTATTAGAGAAGCATTAGATAATTTAAGTAAAGCTTAGAGAGATATAAATTATAACTTTATAGATAATCAAGTAATAGGACTTTTTACTTTGAATTCTAAAGAAATAAAATAAACTTTAATTTAAAGGGCTCAAGAAAATTATTAATTGATTGTGTAAAAATTAATAGAAATAATTAAGCACAATGTAACCAACATAAAAACACATTATTAAGATATGTATGCTAAAACATCAACAGTTCCTTAAACAGAAGAGGATTTGATTGAATTAAAGTTATTTTTAGATGAAATAAAAATCTAATTTTCTAAATAATATTTAGAAATAACATAAATGTAAATATGATCTTAATTAGTTATTAGTAAAAAATTTATCAATTATTTGGATGAAATTTTTTAAGAGTACGATTAATTATTAATGAAAGAATATTATTATCTATTATAATGGCCAAAAGAAATTAAAAGAAGCATAAAGACTAATAGCCGGTAAATAGAATCTATTGAGAGATAATTCTTTTTAAAATTAGAACATGATAAGGTAGAATTTACAGAAAAGTTATTTTAAATGAAAGAGCAATTTACAAAGATAAAAGGATTTAATTAATTTGGTATAGTGAAATAATAAGCAAATGAGATGAAGGTATTGGCTGATTGGATTTTTTAAGGATAAGAATAAATAAATTCTTTTAATTAAAGAGAAACTATGTTCTAAATACCTTTATCATAATATCGAGAATTTCATTAACTTGTTATAGATTTCAAACCATTCTAATATTTGTGGGAGTTAGCAAATGAATTTGAATTTTAAAAAGAATCTTGGCTTTATGGTTCATTTAAAAATTTGAATCATTAATAAATCCTCTAAAAATTGACATATTATGTAAATGAAACTATGACACTGACTAATACATTTAAAGAAATTAGTGATGAAAATGGATAATCTGTAACAAGAGGTTTTAGAAGGGCT